AGAGACAATAATAATAGCTCACCTTTTTGACAGTCTTTATAGTTTGTAAAACGCTTTCCTCACAACTGTGAGGTAGGTGGTGAAAATATTAATAGCCTCATTTTACACATGCAGGAACTGAGCCTGTAAGAGGTTAAGTGATTTGCTCATAGTCCCAGAATGAGTTGGTACCATAGTCACAATTGAACTCGGGGGTTGGCCTCCAGGTCCACCATCCTTTCTGCTAGTCATTCTCACTATAGTACAAAATAGCATGTGATAATGGTTCAAAGAAAGGTGCAAAGTGCCAGGGGGTTCATAAGGAGGTCTCCCTTTTTTCTATGACTTTATACAGGGAAATTCAAAGCCAGAGCAGCTTCCCTGGGAAGACGGAGGTTGGAAAGGCTTTTCCCGATTCTGCTGCAGGCCACTGTCCCTTTTTTTGTTGTTATTCAGTTGTTTCTGTCATGTCAGACACTTCGTGACCCTATTTGGAGTTTTCTTGGCAAAGATACTAGAGTGGTTTGCCATTTTGTTTTCCAGCTCATTTTACAGATGAGGAAATTGAGGCAGACAGGGTTAAGTGACTTGCCCAGGGCCACACAGCTAATGAGTGTCTCAGGCCAAATTTGAACTCACAAAGATGAGTTTTCCTGAGTCCAGGCTGGGCACTTTGTCTACCTAGTCACTTAGCTGTCCCCAACTTTTGTGCTCTAAAGAAATATCCTCTGGTCCACTTCATTCTCCCAGGGCCCTGAGCACAGAAGGACATGACAGGTAGTGGAGCACAGTGGAAAAGGCACAGGATTTGGAGTCAGAGGACCTGCGTTCAAATCCCAGCTCTGCCACTTACACAAGCCTGGGTGACTTTGGGCAAATCACTCCAGCTCTCTGGGCCTCAGTTCCCTCATCTGTAAAATTTCGAGGCTGTACTTAAAGCCTCCCCAAGGTTCCTTCTAGCCTCTGAATCCTCCTCCTCCACGGCATCATCAAGGACCAGATCTTAAAGGAGCCTTCAACAATCCAGGATAAGCCCCCCTCAGAGCCTGGAAATGGAGCACAAAGGCCCCAAAGAGGAGGGAAGACAGCCATGTCCTTCCTTCCCTCCCCCTTCTCTCTTTTGCAAAGGACAAGTCATGTGTGAGAAGCACCAGGCTGAAATGCATAATGCAGTATCGACTTGGGCATCCCCATTTTCCTACACAGCCTGGCCACATAAATCCCCATCCCAATAATATTTGTATTGATTAACTGGGTTGGAGCGTCACTGAGCTCCAGGTCTCACTTCCCTCCCAGGACAAACAGATGGGGTCTCAGTTCTTTATCTGCATTTCTAATGAGACATTTAAATGGAGCAGCAGCATGGAGGTTTCCAAGCCCCTTTGCTGCCCTGGAGGGGCAGAATCCTTCTTCCGAGGCTGGGAGAGAAGTGAGATGTGAAATGACCAGAGTGGTCCCTCGGGGAAGTAGGGGAATTGTAGGGAGTAGGGGAAGATGGGGATAGTCTTGGTATTTGGAAATTACTTGCCTCAGTTTTGTATCTGATGCATACATACACCTAGGTCACCTCACTATCTATCTGCCATTGCACCTGTGAATGTATCCTTTTCCTCCCCCTTTCTATTATCCCTTCCCAGTCACTGCTCCCTATAGGTGTAGTCTTAACCCTATTAGAATGTAAGCTCCTCGAGGGCAGGAACTGTGTGTTTTTAAAGGAGTTGTATCCCCTTTGCTACACCTGACACAGTAAGCACTTAATAAATGCTTTTCCATTAATTAATTTATGCCTCTAGCTCTCCTATCTTTCTAGAACTGGAACAGGGATTATATGCAGAGATGGTTCAAATCGGACTCTGACCCTCACACCCTAGGGTCGGCCGGACCCCAGGCCTCAACAACAGCATGGCCTCAGAGGTCCAGGAACAGGGTGGCTCATAGGCTCACCAACAGGGGGCAGTGCTCCCTCTAGACTTGTTCAACCCATGAGCAAATTGTACAAATATCTTCTTGCTGAAAAAAGCAAGAAATATGAAGGATTCAGAGAAATCTGGGAAGACATATGAACCAATGCAGAGCAAAGGAAATGGAACCAGCAGAACAACTGACATGATGACCACAACAATGTAAAAGAAAACAACACGGAATGACCTTAGAAAACACTCATCAATGGAGTGACCAATTGTGACTTCAAAAGGTCACAGACTTAGAGTTAGAAGGGACCTTATTTTATACATGAGGAAACTGAGGCCCAGAAATTAAATGATATGCCCCCCAATTTTACAAATGAGGAAACTGAGGCCCAGAGAGATTAGGTGACACATCTTAAGAATCTGAGGCAGGATTCAAACCCAGGCTCTATCAATTGCAAGCAGTACTCTATTCACTACACCAAAGGTGTTAAACATGGGACGCATAACACTTGTAAGTGTGGCCTGAACCAGATTAAAATTAATTGGGAAATCTTTAACAAAATAAATCAAAATAAAATTTAAAAATAGATGATGTTAATATGTGTTTTTCTAAGTCAACATGCCATCCACAGTCATCCTGATGTCTGGTTTAGGCACCTGTTTCTACGTAAGTTTGCCGTCTCCGCACCATACCACCCTGCCCTCGCCCAGCTGAGGTCAGCTATGCTTCCTGCCTCTCATCAGAGCATTGGTCGACTATAGGTATGAAATGAGGGACACCTTGTCACAGACAGGCAATCTGTCTGTTTGAGCCAACTATACTCCTTTTCCTTACAAGAGAAGGTAGTTATTGAGAAATGGCAACGATGTTAAATTTTAAAAGGGCATTAATTAAACATTTTAAAAAGACTTGTTTAACCCACTGTCCTGATTGTCACTTCCAGGGATCCTCCCAGAGCTCCAAGGGAAAACTGCCACCCAGGCCTAAGCCACAGAGAAGGGAGAAATCTGGGGGATGGAGGAAGACAGAGGAAAGAGAATGGCAAAATAACAGAATGGTGAACCTGGAAATTCACCTTAAGACCATTGAGTCCAGCCCCCTCATTTTATGAAGGAGGAAAAGTGACTTTCCCAAAGTCAAACAACTGGTAAAGGACAGAGTCAGATTTAGAAACCTGGTCTTCTGACTTCTAATTTAGCCATTTTTTTTCCCCCAGTGAAAATAAAGAAAAGAGAAACATAAAGGGATGGGGGTGAAAGGGAGAGGGGACAAACAGGATATGAGATGAAGAGGAGAGGACATGGGAAAGAAAAAGAGAAAGGGAGAATCACAGAGAAGCATAGTGAAGGGGAGGCACAGGGACCCTTGGAAATCAAGCTCCCGGGCAGCTGGGCAGTGCAGGGCTCAGAGCTCAGCTTGCCCGGCCCAGACCAGCCCCCGGTGACCGTGCAGCTGCCACACTCTGGGATCTTGAGATGAGGTCAGCTCTGCCCCAGGGCTGAGCGAGTGAAAATAAATGGAGTCTAAGATAAAAGGTCCAAGAAATTATTTGTCTTGTTGTCATGTCACAACTGTAACGGGCAGGGGCTGGGGTCCAGCAGGCCAGGCATCCTGCTGTTTCAGCTGGAGAGCTCCCAGGGCACTACTGCCCTCCCCCCCAACACACACACACACACACACACACACACAGACACACACACACACACAAGGCCCAAGTCCCCTGGCCCCCAAACCCTGGTCCACCTCCCCCCACAAGCACATACTCAGCTTCCACTGTCTGAGCTTCCAAGACCATCTCATCTCAGGCTACAGACTTCCTTCCCCCCCCCCCTCTTCTCCAAGGATCTGACTCCTGGGAATAAGCAGATTATAAAGTTAGAGCACTCCTTCCCCATCCCAGACTTAAAGGGCAGGGCCTATGAGGAGGAGCTAGACAGTCTCTAAATTCCCCAAATTCTAAGGGTCTATAATTCTCTGACCCTCTCCTATGGGGACTGCATGTTTAGATTAAAAAACAGAGAGATGCGAGCATTTCCTAGGCTTCAGCTCAGGTCCAAAGGTTTTCCCTCAGTGAGAAAAGGGGTTGGGTTTTCTGTTTTTCTGTCTGTATAGAAGGAAGGAATGGAGTAATGGGTTTTCCTTTCCTCATCCCTTGAGCCAGAAGTAATTTGGAAGTTCAGGAGACCCCAAACAACCTCACAGCATCATCCCTAGAGCTCTGTCAATTATCAAAAAAGTTCCCTGAGGGTCAGATAGCACATAAACAGGGCATGGCAAATCGGGCTCTGCCACAGGGCAAACAATTTAGAGGACACTAAGAAACAGAAACAACAGAGCTTAGTTTTAGTAGGAAGCTAAACAGACAGTGCACTGGGGTGAGTGCCTCTGCTACCCCCAGAGTCCTTTTCTTTCTCCAGCAGTGGTCTTTCACCAGTGTCCCAAGGTCTCTTTTTTACCCCCATGAGGTACCTTCTTCTGTCCCTTAATTGGGGGTGTACTTCCTAGTTACAGCTCTGGAATCAGGTAAATCCCTGGAGTCAGGGGAGAGAAAAGAAAGCATTCCACACCACCGCTGCAAGCTGAAAGCCGACATGGGTACCAATGTGCATGTACACACACACATCCGGCGCACTGGGTATATGCCACCACAGAATCTCAGAGCCGGAAGGAGCCTCAGAAGGCTTCCAGTCCCACTCAGGCCTGAATAAGAATCCCCTCCAGGGCTTATCCAGCTTAAAGACCTATAGCCACCAAGAAGCCAGTAAACCCCCTCACCCCACCCCCGCCTGCAGGCAGCAGCCCATTTCACTTTGAGATGGCTCTGGCTGTTGGGAGGTTTTTCCTGATGTGTAGCCTAAATCTGCCTTTCTAAAAGGAGGACTGTCTAGTCAGCAAAGATCCAGAGAAAGCCCTCACCCCACTCGGTTTCTGGGATAAAAGGTTGGTGAAGCAACAGATCAAAGGACTTGACTCTCCGTCTGCCTGCGTATCCCTGCACACCCACCCTGGCGTCTCTGCAGCGATTTCAGCCAATGCCCCCCCCCCCCCCCCCCCCCCCGGCCCCATGAGGGGGCTGGGAGAGAAGCACCGAGCCCAGTGACGTCTCCTACCATATTTGTCTCCATCTTCGCCCTTGGCACTGATCCTCCGCCCCAACACCTGGATGTGCTTCCCGCTCGTCCGGCTGTACAGCTGGTACAGCCTCAGCTGCTTTCTGCTCACATCATCCCGAGCTCTCGTCTGGTTCTCCACATGGATACGGAAATCCACGTTCTCCTCGGCTGCCAACACCTGTAAAGCGGAAAAGGGAGGAGGGGAAGAGACAAGGTGACTCCTGGAACAGCGAGCTTGGGGTCCCAAGTTCTCTTCCATAGAAAAGGCCTCTCACAGGGAATATGGGTGGGGACAGAGGGGAGCTGGTGCCGATGGCCCAGAGCCCCTGCGCTGGCTTCAGCTGTGGTTCTGAGCAATTGTGGGAAGCAATGTGTGACCCTCCTATGACAGGGCGGGAGAAGACTAGGTTTGGGAAAATACAATAGAACAATGAGATTGGATCTGTAAGTTTAGAACCTTGGAGGCCATTGAGACCAGCCCCCTCACTTTTATAGATGAAGAAACTGAAGCTGATAAAGGTTAAGTGACTTGCCCAGGGTCACACAGCTAATAACTATCTGAGTCAGGATTTCCGCTGGCTCCTCCTGACTCCAAGCTCATCACTTTTTCCACAAAGCCACTTAGATGCCTCAAAACTGAGGAAAGAGAGATTAAGTGACTTGCCTTTGGTCATACAGCTAGAAAGCAGCTGAGGCAGGATTTGAATCCAGGTTTTCAAGTTCAATACTCCATCCTTTATATCACACTATTCCTCACAGTGGAATCTGCAGATCTGGGTTCCAGTTCCAGCCCTCTCACTGACTTGCTGTGTGGCCCTTAACTTCACACTGCATCAAATTTTCTTGTCCATAAAATAAGAGGGATAAAACCTACCCTCCAACCTCACAGGATGGTCACAGGGATCAAATGAGACAATGGATGAGAAAGAAGTATGACACAAACACAACACAGTCTTATTCCTGCTTTCAGGAGACGGGGGAAGACTGAGGCACGGAGCACTGGCGTCCTCTTGCCCAACTTAAGGCAGATTCAGAACAGAAAGCCAGATTCACCTCCTGACTCAAGATTCTGGTACTACAAGATAGACTCTCCCTCCCTGCTCCCCCCACCCAAGACCCACAGAAAAATGAGCTTTCTTAGAACCAACTTCTGCCCCTGCCCTCCCAGTTTGGCCAACTGGAGGGCTTCAGAGTCACGGGAAGAAGTCACCAGGAGGTGGGATTCTGGATCCTGTCTAAGGGAGGAGAGCAGAGGAAGATGTGCCCTGAATTTCATCAGGAATAAGAACGTCCATCTTTATCTCCGAATACTCCCAGCTCAGCCTCCATTCCAGTCAAATTAACATCCTCATTTTGTCTCATAAATACACCACAAGCGTTCCAATCTCAATGCCTTCCCCACAGACGTGCATAGAGGGTGGGCATGGTATGTCAGCACCCCCTGGGTATGCCAACACACTAGATCCACGCTCTATGCACCTCTATGTCCTACAATCATACTGCGTGTTCCACATGCTCAATTCAGGTCCCCTCCCCCTTCTGACCCTCCAAATCCTAACTATACTTCAAGGTCCAGATCAAGCCTAATTTTTCTCTGTGAAATTGTCCTTAATCACTCCAACCCACCCTGAACTATGAATCACGTACGGTACGGTGGAAAGAGCTTGGGTTCAAATCTCATCTCTGATGCTTACCACCTACGTGACCTCGGCATATCATTTGACTTGTCTGCATCTCAGTTTCCCCAATCATAAAATGTTGGAGCTAGACTGGATAGCCTTTGAGATCCCTTTCAGCTCTACAAACTCATAAAATATTCAGTTTGCACTCTGAACCTCACATGGTGGCAAGTTTTATTCAGTATCACTACCACGAAATTACAGGACACTGCACTGTGACCTTTGCGAGCATCCCAACCTAAGGTTCCTCCCCTTGTCGATCAAGTCTCCACCAAGGACTTAACTTAGGTACAGGGGACATTAACACATAGAGACATACGTCTAGAAATTTTCAGTTCTACTTTGGGCTTAGGAGCCTCCGAGGAAACTGAGGTTCAGTTTGGCCTCAGCTAATCTTGTTGATGCTAATAAAGAAATTTAACCCACTGAGGGAATCCCAAAGACTTTTTTTCCAGGAAATCACACCCAATTATGTCACACAATATTCTCTGTCTCTCTTTTCTATTCTCTCTGCCCGTCTCTCTCTCTTTCTGTACTCCCCCACCGCCGCCCCGAGAGAAATACATGCCATAATTCATACCCTAGGTTTACTAAATGGATTTAGATTGTGGTTCCCCTTGGGTTTAGTCGGATGACCAGCCTATTTATAGGATGAGCTTGCCTACAATCCCATTCATCGGTGAACCTGAATGATGTCAGTATTTTGATTCCTCAGCAGCCCAATGCCTCTCTCCAGCCCCTTGAAACAAGTCTGGAGGATTCCTTATTCACCTTCAGACACCTTCTCATACTCACCAGAGACCTTATTGATCAGAGGTCAAACCAATCTCATGACCCCACATCCCCCCCAGATAAGTAGGAAGCCACTGTTTCCCAGAAGCCAACCCCACATTAATGATTTTCTTCCTGACCCCTCTGGACACAAAGTGAGTGACCCGAGGTCATCAGGAGGTATTGGGTGGAGTTTCTTCCCCAGGATGTGGGAAAGAGTAATCCATCTCTCACAGTTTCTACCACCTGAGCCAAACTCTCATCTATTAGATAAATCAGGAAACACCCCAAGGTGATGCAAGGGGCAGGGATGACCACAAAGGTGGTACCATACAGTCCTGAGATTCAAGGTCTGAGGTACTAGGTGTGGCCAAATCTATTATTTGCCTCTCTAGATATACAACAGGACATATCACCTTCTCTGGAACCATGGCCCAGGGTAACTCAAAACTGTGGTCAGTGGGGAGCACCCCAGGACCTCCCAGACCAACTCATGAGGCAGCAAGGCAGCTATTTACCCCACCCCTCTGGAAGAAGCTTTCTCCACCTGGGGTCTTTGTTGTAGGATTAAGTAGGATATAAACCGTGAAGCTCACAGTTCTATAGATACACCCATCTATGTAAATGGACCCCCTGCGGCATGCTGGGGAAGCCTCTCTGAACCAGGCCCCAGAGAGCCATCTCACTGCATGTGGACTCTGCATGTGGACTTGGGCTCTCTCCCCTCCCACCTCCTTCACTGAGCCAAGACAGGGGCCCTTTTCTAGACCTCTGGCTGCTGTCATCTGCTGAGGCTGTCCAGCATTGCTTTATATTAGTTAAACCCTTTACAGATCTGCAAAAGATGTAATCTGAACAAGAAATCATTGTTTTTTTGTAAAGTGACTCATGTTTTTAAATGCATGCAAGGGGCTCATTTATCTTAAAGGATTCTTACCTTCACATAAAGTTAATGACTTTCCCTAATTTGTCTTCTAACACAGAAACATATTGTCCAATGTCAGGGTTTCTTTTTCCTAGTGGGGCACACCTGCACTTAAGAGTAACTTGCTTCCCCACCCCCACTGCTCCCCCAAACTTCATTTAGCTCGACTGAAATGTCAGAAAACATTCTCCCGTCTCCCTGTTCCTTGAAGGTTAATATGGATGAAGAAGCAACCAATAGCAGCAACAGCAACACATTATCTTGTTGACCCTATAAGATTAAATCTCTTTACTGAGCCAAAGTCACAAGCCCATAGGATTTACAGTTGAAAGGTACCTCAGAGACTTTTTTTAATAAGAATATATTTTCTTTTTACTTTTGATTCTCACTTACTTAATTGTATTTTAAAAAGAAAACTATATGCCCCCCTTCTCCCACAAATTACACTGTTCCCAAGTTCAGAAGCCTTTCCTTGATTGGTGAGTAGTTTCAGTTATCATCAATACTTTACTACAACTATAACCTTCAAATCAGGAGCTTTGCCTCAGGGTTCTCATTTCAAAGAAAATAAAATCTTTGTCTAAGTTATTAAAACAGGGGAAGATTTTAAAAAAGGGTACTAAATAAAAATGTGCATTAGCTGGCTCCAATTTCCTCATTTTACAAAAGAGGAAACTGAGGCCCAGAGAAGTTCAGAGACTTCAATTTATCAAACATTTTACTAAGTAGCTAGGATGGAGCAAGCCATTGTGCTACCTACAGTAGGCAGTAGGGATACAAAATTGGAAAATGTGGAAGGTCACATAGGTGACCAGTAATAGATGTGGGGTTCAAACCTAGGTTCCCTGATTATGTATCCCATGCTCTGTTGACCATAGCACAATGTCTCTGTCCAGCACAGTGTAACAGCTAGTGTGCTGAACCTGGAGGCCTGTAAGCTGTAGGCATCCAGAATCACACCATCCAAAGTGTGGGGGGGGGGGGGGGGGGGGGAGAGAGAGAGAAGGGGGGGGAGGGGGGGGGGGGAGGGACAGAGGGGAGGGAGAGGGAGGGAGAGAGAGAGAGGAAGGAAAGAGAAGAAAGGGGAGGTTGGGAGAGGGAGGAAGAGAGAGAGTCAGTTTAGAAGGCCCCCTTTTCCAAGCTTCTTTCTTCTACCATCTTCTCTGACTCCTGGACCACCAAGGATTCAGTGATGCATAGGAGTCTTACCTACTGAGTGATAGAGGCAGACAAGCCCTTATCTCCATACAGCACTGTTGACTTAGTTTCCCCTCCTCAAGGTGAACCTTCCCTTAGTATTACAGTACAGTATAGAATAACAATGGAGATTCAGATAGCTCATGAAGGTTTGTCAAGCCTTTTACACACACTGCCTCATCTGATTGATGCCAAAACTCACAGGCACTGCTATCCCTAGTTTACATGTGAAGAAAGTGAGGTTCAGAGAGAGGATAAATGATGTGTCCATCGTCCCATAACTGGTAAGTGTAAGAAGAATTCAAACCAGAGCCTTTTACTCCAAGTCCAACACTCTTTCTGTGGAATTTGGACTCTAAGGACATAAGTTCAAATACTAGATCTTCTTCTTACTATGTGTGTGACACTGAAAATGTCTGTTTCAGTTTCCTCACTGGTAAAATGAGAGAATTGCACTAGGTGATCTCTAAGGTACCTTCCGACTATAAATCTTATGACCTAGATGGGGTTTTTTGTGGCTCTCTAGAGGGATTTCACAGTCCCCAAGATCTCTCCTCTCTATTCCAGTGTCTGTCTGATCTCTCTGAGGGATGGTGCTGATGACTC